AGACTGCCTTATTTCGTTATTTAATTGGCAAACTGTGTGCAGTTGAGGTTATAGCTCTCAGAAGGAAAGGAGTTGAACAATCAACATAGGTCATTTCACTGCAATCCCCACTCCAAATCATCCATTCCGTAAACGTCGATCACGTAACCATGCAAGGAGTAACCTGGTAGATAACAGACCAGATAAACTGCTTAACAATAAGATTATGCGCTCGATATTTCTACCGCCCTATAGTTAATGAGAACAAAGTTCTATCAGCTATCGCGTATATCGAAAGCGAATAATCTCACCGTTTTACTAAGAATCTGGTCGTTCCAAACTCGACTACAAGACAGGTTGTTTAACTATATAACTCCCTTTTGACATGGCCCGGCTCACTTACTGGTTGGCTCAGACTAACTATATTTTTGTACTTAGATTCTTGAACATTATCATTCAGATAAACTGGGTACAAGAATGTCAGGAGGCAGTATACTACCCCCTAAAGGTCGCACTACCAGACTACTCATTTGACTCACTATCTCTCAAGGAACAGAAAGCAAAATGCAAAACCAAGATTGCATTTACACGTGGCACAAATAATATGGCGGCCAGTAGCAAGCCCAAGAGCGACGAATTTGAGAGGATTGTTTAAACGATATTTTTGGCGTCATAGAGGAGTCCGTGTTTGAGTAACAGCAGAATTGAAAAAGGGGATTTGTTTTTGTTGTCTCAAACAGCTGACCAGTTTTTTATTTTTTTTTTTAAGAGCTTATTTTTGCCTTATTTATTTGGGCATTTTCCAAAAACCATCTTGAATGTGCACAAGAGATCATATAACTTTCAATGCCAACTTACATGTACCTGGTAAAAGGCCCTCTATGAATTCCTCACAATCAAAGTTTATCAAAGTAAAGGGACTTTTGTGTGAACATGATAAAGTAATTTGCTTCTTCAACACAACTTTTTCTTTTATGGAACTTTAGTTATCGTAGAGATACTTAAGAGCGACTTTTTTTTCAAGACCGCGTGAGAGGTGGCACATCGACCGAAAAATGGTTATCCTTTGGTTTCAGTCAGAGACACTTTACGGTGAATATAGAAACGTGGCTAGGTGTTTTTTCCAGACTTGCTTCTTTAGGGGATCAGGGATGGCTCAGTGGTGAGAGCAATCGTCTCCCACCACTGTGGCCCAGGTTCGATTCCTGGACCTGGCGTCACATGTGGGTTGAGTTTGTTGTTAGTTCTCAGTCCTTGCTCTGAGGGTTTTTCTCCGGGTCCTCCGGTTTTCCTTCCTCCGCAAAAACCAACATTCCAAATTCCAATTCGATCTGGAAACAGTGGACAAGAAGAGCCACTCAGTGGAATGTCCATTGCTAAATTATTTATTACTATTATTTATTATTTATCATTTATTCTTTATTCTTTATTCTTTATCCTAGAAAATTCGCGAAAACTGAAACGAGCGTCGGTAGCCGTAAAATGGCGGAATCATTTTCCCGAGCAGAGGCAAATGAACATTGCTCATGAAAAGCGCAAAAGAAAGCAAGCCTATAACAATTTTACAGATTTGTATAAGAAAGATAGAGGTATGGTTTGAGTCTAAAACGGGACCATTTCATTTAATTTGGAGCTCATGGAACGCTTTTGAAAATCACCAAAATGAATATTTCAAAATCCAAATATCGCATTTCGTAGCAAATTTTTAATTATCATTTCCTCATGCGATATAATTCAGAATCGGTTCAGGTTAAGCTCATAATAAGTGGAAATCGTGTTGTTTTCGCGAATATAAAAATAGTTTGGGGCTATTCATTTCCGCACGGAAAAACCAGGCTGAACTTTAAGAATCGCAACATCGGCATTTACGCCACCATAAAATCTAATTAGGTACCCTGTGGTTAACTCCAGAATTCTAAGCACTTCTTTAAGCAGTTAACACCGTGTTCGATCAGGAAATCAGTACAATAAGCTAGCCTTGCATAGCTAACGACGACAACTTGGATTTTATCTCTGCTTTCGTTTCAAATTCTCAACCATTTCCCATGGCGAAATTGTTTACAATATCACATTTTTTAAGCAAGGGGAGGGCGTCTAATTTTTTTGGCATATTCGAACGCAATTAAGTTTTAAGAAAGTTCAAGGGTAAGATTGAGCTTCATTGTGGAATTGAAAGAGGACAATCAATCATTTATACCGGTAGGTCAAATGTTGTTTGCCGAAGACGTTGAAGACGGGAAGCAATCTGATACTGGTGTAAGTGAAACACACTCAAGCATTTGTCACGCAATGCTGAAATTATTTCAATCTTATTCCCGTCTTGTAATTTTACGGCCATGAATATCCGTGAATAAGGTTTTTCAACAAACTTGTCAGTGTGATAATTTTTCTTATCATTAAGTCATCGCCGTGGGACTTGCTAACTTCGCAGCAGGAATCTCATGCAGAGATTGAGTGATATCACATACTTAGAAGAGTCATCAACAAATAGCTATAGCAGAGCAAAGGAAAGAGAGGAAAAAATTACAAAAAAAAAGAAGATTAGGGAAAGGATCAAAAGTCAGAGTAAAGACGAAACAGAGGCAAAGTACAAAATGATTGAAATAGGAGAAGAATACCAAGGTGAACTAGAACTGAGGATAAATGTATAATGAACGGTGTGCTATAATTTGAAATAACTAATACAAACAAAGAATCTTAGCTGAATTAAGAGAGTTCTTCCCAAATTGAGAGTTTTAGTTACAAAACGCACGTAAATGGAAATCAATCTTTTCAGGCATTGGTTAGGCTCCAAACTGTTCGCAAACTAAAACAACTGTGTCGAGAAAAAGATTGTTTTTGATACTTCAACAAATGTTACTTCAGCTAATGTCGTGGTGTAAAGTCATTTCTGAACACCTAAAGACTGTCAGTAATACCAATGTTGAGGCGATAAGAGATTTAATTTCAGATCGAGAGCCAACACACCCTCCAGCAATCGGACCAGATCCGGCCTGTTCCGGGCATCACTGTTCTTTGATTAGCAGTTGCGACAAAGGAGAATATCGGTCCGAGGTCTTGACAGTACGGACCGAGCGCAGCGAGGTCCGTACAAAAAAGACCGAGGGCCGATATTCTTCCAGTACGGTCCCGAGCTAGCTTGGTTAATAAGAGATTTATTATACGACTGAAGTTCAAAGGGACACAGGTGCGGTATCATTCGGGACTATTCGGGACAGTGCCCGGTCCAATACTTAGAGAATATTGGACCGGCAATAGAGTATTTTGATTGGTTGATTTTAGTTATTGGCCCTCTGACTGCTCGAGTCGTGTAATAAAACTTCTTACTAACTTAGTGTGAGGGCCGTACTGGGGATTAGTGGCCCGAAATCGTGGCAGAACGGAACGAGCGCAGCGAGGTCCGTACAGAAACGACCGAAGCCAATGTTCCCCCGTGATACAGCTCGAACAAGTGATGGTACTAAGTATTTTAATATATGGCACTCGGGAAAACATTTTTATTAATTTCTAATTTTCCGGCTTTCGCGAACAAAAGTACACTGCTTATGATCGCTTCCGTGGAAACGGTCCATATGGCAAAATCCCGACCAAGCAAGAACTAATCAGAACGCTGGGATTTACCACAAGACTGTCCTGCCCTATAGTAAGTTGTTATGATCTTCAAGCTCGAGGTATTTTCGTCAAAATTTTCTTTTCATTGTAGAGAAAGTCATTAATGATCACAAGTTTGTCTTTTTTTGATGTAGGTGTGTTTATTAACTCAATCGAATTATATTTGCTTAGCGTACTAATTGACATTCCTTTTTTAGATTTTGACGTTCAAAAAAATGTTGAATCGGTGTCAGTGACGTCAACGTTGTACACCAATTAATTCGCAGCTTCACTTCTGGGGCAACCCACGGGCTTTTGACTGTCGTCCTTTGAACCTTACCAAGGCGGGGAAGGGAATTTGAACCTGGAGGGTCAAGTCTTTCCAATGGAATAACGGTGGTTTATCTAATAGTATGGAGGCACTTAAAGGAAATGGCTCAGAAGATAGGGTCTACAAGGTCTAGGTTTTGAAGCTTGAATAGTCAAATCTATCGCTGGTCAATAAATAGAAAGTCACGGTCGTTGATCTTGCATTTTACAACAGAAGTGACAATCAAATGAGGGCCTCTAAAGGAAGATGGCTTCCAGGGCTAACGGTTAAAATTTTGGCCATTTTATACGGCTAATGCTAAATTTTTTACGGTTAACATTTTTTACGACTGACCGTTAAAATTTGTCAATTTTTACGCCTAACGGCTAATTGTTTTGCCGTTCTACGGCTATCGGTTAACTCCATTGAGACCCGCTAAAATCTAGTACATACGCAGAGCATTTTAACATGATTTTGGCCCAGGGGGGTGGGAACCAATCTTCAAAAGTAAAAATTCCTGAGGAGAGGTGGTGTTGAAGTTTCAATTGACCAATGCATCATATTTTCTTCTAGCATAATAATTTTGGTATCCCTCCGTCTAACGATGCCATCTGTTTGATAATCACCGAAAAAAATCCTGCCAGTTTCTTCATCCACTCACGTGTGAGTCCAATTATTTTCAGTTAAAAACAGTTACTAAAGGGGTTTTATGTGTTTATAACGCCAACGTAACAACTGAAAATGACACAACCGGAAAGAGTTACCTTGGACTAACGGAAAGAACATTTAAACAACGCTACACGCAGCACAAACTTTCTTTTCGAAACCGAAACAGAAACTATTCAAGCAGCACGGAACTATCAAAGTATATCTGAACACTCAAAGACAGCAACAGCAACTTCACAATCAACTGGAGTATTTTAGCGACCGCCCCGGCCTTCAACAACAAAAGCAAGCGGTGCCACTTGTGCCTCACAGAGAAACTTTACCTAATTAGAGCTAAGAAGCCGTCTTTATTAAACAAAAGAACAGAACTTATTTCTAAAGACGTTGGCTATGTATCATCTCATTTCCAACGCGCGCTCGTGGAATAATTGTTAAATATCTATATACACACACACATATATACATATCTATTATTTTATTAAAAAATTTTACTAAAATACTGCCTTTTCCTAACCCTGACCCAAAGTATTTAAATAATGTAATATAATATTATATTACTAAATAAAGTAAATAAAGTCAACAATACTAATGCTGCTTATAATCCTAAAATGTTATACCGCTTCTTAATTAAAAAAAGAAATTCCTAGCCAATCGAGAGAAGGTTTGAGAGGCCGTATATAGTTTCATGTATACGAGTATAAAACTGCATATACTCTACATACCTATATCTCAAAATGACCCCTAATAGTAAGATACGAAGATATGTAAACGTCATACATCAGGCACGCGAAGAAAATTTCTAATTGGTGTTAAAAATACGCTCCTTTATTATAAATAAGGAACGTGTAGTGAAAACCATATCTTTTGGGAAATCTGAGCATGCGCAACTTTTGACGTTTCTAGCAGAAACCTTTTGAGGAAATTGGAAGAAACGTTTGGTTTTCTCTACGTTTGCTACTTTTGTAAACAGACAAAAGAAACATATTCCAAGTTCTAAAGCAATTTTTAGTTGATTGTGGTAGTACCAAAGCCAAAGTCATTGAAAACAAACAATTAGACCCAAAAATGCTCAAAAGTAAAACAATCTTAACTCGAAATGAATGCATGAAACTGGCCTAGAGGTGCGAAAAAACGGTAAAATGGTCGAGATTCATTTAATTACTCTCGCCTCCGAGTGATACTTGAGATTTCCCCACGTCTACGATAAATCGTAATCAAAAACTTTGCATTTTAACGTTGCTTCAACACTCGATCGAAAAATTTTCCATTTTTTTTATATTTATTTAACGTAAGTAGATTTTCCAAAAATCTCCTGCCGTCGGGTTGGCGTCGTTTGTCATATCATCACAATACCAGTAGCTGTCCTCAAATAACCAGTAATACGTAGACGCAACATATGCAGTGTGAGCATACAATCTGTTCTCTCCTCTCGAACGAGAGTGTCCCCATTTTCCCACTTTTATCTGTTTGTCAAATCCCCAGTCCTCACACACAGTGGCCAACTTAGAGTTGTCACCTTTCATTCTTTGAAAAGACCCACATGAGTCGGGTAGCACGTCTGTCTGGCCGCTGAAGTACTGGACCACAGCTCTACCAGAGGCGTTGGTAGCCGTAGTCACATGGAAGGTACGTCCCTTTTGTTTACTGCAGTGGAATCTCAGCTGAGTGAAAGATAAGTGTGTTCTGAGTTCTTTCATGGCACTCGTTGTGATAAACATTTTGTTGTTGGTAAAGTTACTGATTCCGCGGTATGATGACTCAGCGGTCCAAATGGGGAGTGGAGTTGAGCCGTCCGTTACTAAGTTTGCAACAAGAAGCCAGCCTCCTAAGACAAAACGAGAATCAGACTCATAATCCATCTCAACTGACAAGCTAGCTTAGTTGTTTAACCCGATATGGAATATAAGAAGCCATCCCCCTAAAAATTATAAGTAGTTTAAAATACAAAATGGGCACAGTGAAAAATGATAACATATCTCAATTCTTCATGCTGTCTCAGAACCTGTTTATAAGCTAAGCAAAGTCATCTTTGCTTTCAACATGATGTTCACTTGCCCTGAAAAGCAAATTTAACTTTAAACAGATGAAGATGCTCATTTTTTAGCCGAGTTAAAATGGAAAATTGACCGCCGTTACGGTTATAAAAGCTGACGTTTAGAGCGTTAGCCCTTCGTCGTCACTCCGACGAAGGGCTAACGCTCGAAACGTCAGCTTTTATAACGTAACGGTGGTCAATTTACCATTTCAACTTTGTTGATATCTTCAAACTATTTCGTTACCCCCACTGACGCAGCCCCATACAGTTTCTTTAAAAACTATCAACCTTTATTCATTTTTTAGCCACACTAGAAGAATTTTCACACATAGGAAGCATTTATTATTGCCGAGGGTTGTTAGTAGATATTCATTTCATGTACTTTTATCAAAAGGTCCAAGATGACAGGACGCCATTGTAGATTTAAAAGAACAAAAAACAAAAAACAAGAAAAAGAAGATCGAATATTTTATTACCTCTGTCAGTTGTCATATCACAGTAGACTTTCATGGGGTTTCTGTTACCCTCTGGGTCTATCCAGTACTCTCCATTCAGCAAGGGATGCTTACTGCGTCTTATGTCCATGCAAGAGCGTCCGGGATTTGATGGGTGAAATCCTCGTCCCTCTGGAAAGAAACGGATTAAAAATAATTTTTGGAAAAGTTGCGTTAATCTTCAAATGCAGTGTCTCGTCACTGGAACGGAAAGAGAAGTCATGAGGAGAGGAAACAAAGATTTTGTCAGCCGTATTTGGAAACTGTGAATCGAGAAAGGAATGAAAAGAAACAAGGTACGAAAAGACAGGAATTAAAATCAGAAACTTATTTCGACCATGAAGTTGCCGCTCGAGAGTAACTGACGAGAAACGAGTCAGAACGTGAAGCCTCGCTACACTCTCTTCGCAGTGCAAGTCGGAAAAAACAAAAACTTATTAACGACAACTGCAAAACGAGAGATTAGAGCAGCAAAAAAAATGATATACGAGTCGCAAGACGAGAGCATCGAGGATGATAAAGAAGAAACCAGAAATTATTAAACAACTATCGAGTGACTTGTTTACAAACAGAATAAGAAGAATTTTACAAACTGAGGAACGAAATGGTGAAAACTTAATGCTATCGGGTATAGCTTCGTTCCTACCCTTTTCATAATAGGTGAATCCATTGGCTGGTTTTAGGGCCACCGGGCTAAGAAGCCATGTTTGGTCGTTCAGTTCACAAGATTTGTCACCATTGTGATTGTATGACAAGCATTTCCCGTCTCTTACGCATCGTAATCCACAGTCGAACTCGTCAACAATAGAAGTTTCAAAGACATGTCCCACAAGCCTAAAGTCTGGATTAAGGAGCAACATAGAAAATATCGATCAATGAACTGGGCGGCAAAGAACAGATGAAATCGCCCACCCTTACATAGAGCTCCTCCTGTAAAGAAAGAAATTGACATGCATGTATATGTAGCACGATCATTGGACAAAGACCCCTTGATCTCGCTGCTGGATCTTCTACCAACTGAGCTTGATTCGTGAGCTAAGCAGCACCAACCTTTCTTTTATGACGGAGAACCTTTGTCTCTTTTGTAATTAGTTTACTATATAATTCCTTTTTGACATAGCTCGCTTAGGTTGGCTTAAACTAACTGTATTAGTGTACTTAGACTCTTGAATATTATTATTATCATTCAGATAACCTAGGTTAAAAAATGTCAGGAGGTACTATGCTACCCCCCTAAAAGGTCGCATTGCACTGAGCAATAGTATCATGCTCTTCCGTCGCAAGGTGTATTTATCGTTTATCTTATTATCATCTGTAAGGAAAGACCTGTGCCGCCGTAACTCAGTTCGCAATAGCGCCAAGCTAGAATCTGGAAGGCATGAGCCGTCTTGAAAATCCTTGATATTGTCTTACTTTTTCTCTGCAAAGACTGCAATTGTAACCTATGAAGCTCAATTTTCAACTACTTATAACACCCACAGGTCTTTAGGATATGACTTATGTCATTAATACTAGTCTTGAAAGACCACAGAGTTCTTAAATTTAAGGCTTACATATCTTACCTCTGTGGATTTTGAAGACCTGGTTTTGCTCTGATTCTGTGTAAGATGCTGTTCTGAAGGCCAAACTTTCCACGTAGGTCATAAGTAGTACTGAGGTAATCACAGCCCAGCATATTTGTATTCTCATTTTCTAGGCGATGAAACCGAGCATCAGGCTCCAGTGTTTGAGTAAAGTGGTGAACACGGACAAATGGGGGCCTCACTTATACCTTACGCTCTTAGATACTATGTTTACCCCTTTTTTTAGCTGCTAAGTACATAAGTGAAGACAACTTGGGATCTTATCCAGATTTAGGTGTGTGGCAATATATTGCTATTGTTATGAGAAGATTTACATTCACACTCAAATAACTTGAATAATTTGTGACTATTCTTTTTTCATTGATGGCTGAATTTGAAGTTGATCACGTCTTGCCATGCGATTCCAGAGGGTAAGATAGAAAAACCTTGGACTGAGGGGCTTAAATTCTGATCAACAGGGTGACATCCTCATACGGAATAAAAGCTATTGGGCGAACAAAACCCACACTCAATGTTAGTTCTTTTCCTTCATAATTTGTTTTCCAATTTCATTAATTGTAAACTCAGTAAGAAAATTTCCTCACCAATACCCGGAACATTCTTTGAGTCTATGAATACGAACCAACCGGAGGAAGTTTTTAAATAATGCTAAATTAAAACTGGCCGACGTTATAGCAAATATATGAAGGAAACTGTAGTTCTAGGACAGATTAAATCTAGGGATCATAAGCAGGTGCATCTATTTGACTAAAATCTCTCAAGAAATTGTTTACGAGCCAACGGGTAACTCCTCGTTTGTGTTCTTTGACAATTTTTCGAAAATATTTACATCTGGAGATGGATATCCTCTAAATGCTTACCAATGCAGAAAGAAGTGCTTTTTATGATTTCGTCTCCAGTGCCTTAGATAATTACTCAGTCGAGAAATTCGAAAGTTAACCGCAACACAAGCTCAATTCTATGAAATTTCTAGTACAGAGAAATTAATCGGTAAGAACTGGAAATAAAACATATACAACTGAAGTTCCACCAAAAGCCTAAGTTTTTTCCCTGATGCTTCCTACGATTTTCTCGCAATCTTTTTGCAGTAATTTAGTCAGATATGGAATCAAATCATTGATCCAAAGGATTTCTCATCGATCCTCTGCTAACACTTTGAGGCAAATAGTGTTTTCTCAGGGTTAGTAAAACAAAAATCTGGCTGACAATACATCGTTCAGTTTGTTTGACTAAGAAGCAATTCTTTTTTAGAGTTCCTAAATATTCGGAGCTGATCAGACAATAACGAATGTTTTGAAAATGCTTACTTACCTTTTCTCACACAGAAAGTTACTCTGTGAAAGTTATTTATCCACTCAGGAAAACAAAGTTTTCTGCTTTCCACGAGAAGCTTATGACAACTCGCTGCTAATGACGGAAAGGCTCTTTTACCTTTCCAACAAAGCTCTGAAGCCTGTACCCAATCTATTTATTGATAGCAACTTAATTTATGACTTCACGTTGTTCAGTAAAAGTTTCAGCTAATTTTTGTGTTGATTTTACCAAAAACTAAACACTTAGTTCTTTCATCGCCATCATTGCTAATAAGGCTGTGCAAAGGATGTTTTCAAAAACTCTCAATCACAATAATAACTTGCAAGGTATGCCACATGTCAAATTAAATTTGGTTCTCAAAATAAATAATAGTTAATTTCTTTTATTGCATGCAGAACACTGCGAATTTCCAAGCACTCAGACAGCTGTTCGGCAAATCCGTAATCAAAACAAGTTCCCAACTTTCCACTTTCATATAACTTAAATAACAGTGATAAGAAAAGTTCTTCCGCTTTACATGGATAGAACGCGAGACAATTTTCCTAGCTTTGCTTTGTTGAGAAACAGTTTCTCCTTTTTAAATTTGGTATTGACGTGGTTAAAGTCAATAGACATTTAAAATTTATCAGGTTATGATTGCCTAAATTAATAATTCAACTTTAAGTAACCTCTGATTTTCCGGTTCGAGGACTAAATCATATTTCTTTATTTAACGTTAAAACTGGTTGACGCGACTGCGACAACTTTTATGAATTCCTCTCTTGACAAACGAGAGGCTCAAATCCATTCAACCGAGATATAGTCCAGAAATGGAACTGTTCAGCTTTGATCCGCAATCGTGCATGCTTCCACGGGCACTTTGCTTGCTCGTTGGCAAGTGGAGGTGGCCTCGAGCGAGGTCCACTGTGTTCATAAGGTGGCTCTTTTGCAAAGATTCGACTTGAGGATGGCTAAAGGAATGGATAGACTAGAAAAAACTTCGATGTGAATTTTAACGCACATAAATTATCCAGAAATCACCAGGAGATAATTTTATGAAACTACTTCCACCGCCATCATCACATAACCTGATTGGTCAGACACGATCAGCCAATGATATCTATGAGCAATAAAAGCTGCCTGGTTGCACATCCTTTTTTCTCCATGGAATTTTTTTATGTCCCCATTTTCCAAAGAGTTGTGAACCGTCATTTCCCCATCTGTTACAGTTCAAAGCTAGTTGGGAGGTATCATCGTTTATTCCTTCGAACGAGTTGTAGGAGGGAGGAAGATTACCTGTCTTTCCACTGAAGTACTGGACGACAGCTTCACTTGAACTGTTAGCGGCTATGATCACGTGGAATGTGCGTCCCTTTCGTTTGCTGCAGTGGAATCGCAGTTGGGTGAACGACAAGTGTGTCCTGAGCTCTTTCATGGAACTCTTTGTGATACCTATTTCATTGTTGGCAAAGTTACCAATTCTGCGATACGATGACTCAGCGGTCCAATCTTTTGATGGAAATGATCGTGAGTTATTCATCCTAAAGTTGGCGACGAGAAGCCAGCCTCCTGAAATTAGAAACATTAGAGTTAAGTTTTGCAGTCACCTGAATTTTATGCGTTTGCAATATTCCTTTGAGCCGAATGTTGATAACTGACTTCACTTTTAAAGCAATAACACCAGAAAAATCGGAATCGGTGATCAGATTATCCAGCCCGTGAAATATCATTTAAGGAGTGCCTGAATCTTACACACCGATATGTGCTTTGTGAATTAAGAAATTGCAGTCATTTTCGTCTCGAAGAATTTTCATTCAGAATTATCGTTTAAACAGACTGCGACAGCCTCTTCTTCCTCCCCCAAATAGTAGGTGCAACATACACTACCAGAAGCAGTGTTAGTAAAGGACGGAGTCCTTAGGGTAGATCCAATTATATGATATGATGATGATGATGTTTATTCAAACCTTTTGCAGAGAGCTGAATTAAAGGTTTGTTACAATAAGATGTTGTCAAGGTTGAGAACAGACGTTGGCATTTTCTCAGGCGCCTATGGCGGCCGCTTCAGTCCATATCGATCTCACCTTCCCACCCATCCCACCCCAGGCGAGGACATCCATCACACAGTAATCTCGTGTGTGGGAAATTAACGTCTCCTACCCCAACCCTGCAGGAGACGGGACCTCCATTTATTCGTCCCTATCCGAGAAGACTAGAATATCTAACCATCTCTTGATGTTATAGAAAGGTAGCAAATTCTTCTCAATTATTTCGAGACTTTGAGTGATGGTCCGTCCGGGGCTCGAACCCTCGACCTCCCGCACAACGGTCCAGCGCACTATCCATTGGGCTAACTGGGCGGCGGTTCAATTTCTTGAAACCATTTGCTTACTTTATGGATTGGAGGAAAATTAAATGAGATCTTTATTTGTTGACTATGGTAACCCTCAAAGTCTGCGTAATTTGCAAGCTTGTACCTCGGTCGGTTGTCATGTCACAGAAAACCTCCATGGGGTTTCCGTTGTGCTCAGGGTCAACCCCAGGCGGTGTGCGTCACAGGTGGGTATACAATCTTCAGAGTCTCGAATGCGTTTGCAGGAGTCGCCAGGCGACGAAGAGTTGAACCCAAGAATCTCTAAGATCGCACGAATGAACAACAATTACACGCCTCGTTTTATTTATCTTACAAATTAGCCATTCAAAGCTTTTCAATATTTTGAAGCAACCCGAAATTGGACAGTGAAACTATCACTGGTAATACTACAACGACCTCTCTCTAAAAGATCACCATGCAGTTATCACTTAAGAAGTTCTTCTTACTTGATTGGTCGGTGTTTCCTTTGTTACCCGGACCAATTACGCTTATGCATTGATTCTGACCTGATTTCCATCTTCCATCGTTTTCACCAACAATGTTGGAGCATGCAATCTGGCAGGAGATGACACGTATTCTTGACAACTTATTACATCTATATGTAGTAAGTAGATCGATCTCGTTCAATTCTTCGATAACATTGAACCTAGTGGCAAACATACCAGGTTTCTGTTTTCTGCTAAAGAACTTGATATCAGTCATCGATTGATAAATAAATAATAGGACTGAAGTTAACGATGGGTCATACTACAAACAGACTCTTTCAGTCTTTCTAAAATGTTGGAGCATTGTACGTGCTTTTGGACAGTGAAATTATCATAGGTATTACTACAACGACCTCTCTCTAAAAGATCACCATGCAGTTATCACTTAAGTAGTTCTTCTTATTTGCATTTGATTGGCCGGTGTTTCCTTTGTTACCCGGACCAATGACGCTTTTGCATTGATTTTGACCTGAGTTCCATCTTCTATCGTTTTCACCAACTGTGTTGGAGTATGCCGGCAATCTGGCAGGAGATGACATGTATTCTTGACAACTTATTACATCTATATGTAGTAAGTAGATCGATTTCGTTCAATTCTTCGATAACACTGAACCTGGTGGCAAACATACCAGGTTTGTTTTTTCTACTGAAAAACTTGATATCAGTGATCAATTAATAAATAAATAATAGTACTGAAGTTAACGATGGGTCATACTACAAACAGACTCTGTCTGTCTTTCTAAAATGTTGGAGCATTGTGCTTTTGGCTAAAACTCATCCTCGAGATTTATCTCTCGTCTTTAAAAAGTCTCCTCTCGGCCAGATGTTCATCTTTTAAGGACAAAATTTCACCCTCAACCATATTTCTTCGCTATACCAGCCGCCAAAAGAGCCTTTTACTGAATAATTTGGTTCAGCGAGTAAAGTATTTGAGAAAAAAAAAGAGACAACCTGTGTTGTTTCAAAGTAGTTCGCTCCAGGTTTTCCATGAAGTCTTGTGGCTTAGACCTTCCTGTTTCGTTATTCAATTGGCAAATCTGTGTGCAGTTTAGGCTATGGCCATCAGCACGATAGATGTATTACTGACATAGGTCATTTC